TTTGTATTATCAGTGTACTGCTGAATGTCACAGGGTCATGTTACATAATTCTAATGGTGAACGCTGTCCCTTTAAACAGGTGCTAAATGGAGATCAAAAGAACAACAGATTGCAAAAAATATGTAGGCTTATAGAAATGTCATATAATACAGGTGCATCTCAATAAATTAGAATGTCGTGGAAAAGTTCATTTATTTCAGTAATTCAACTCAAATTGTGAAACTCGTGTATTAAATAAATTCAATGCACACAGACTGAAGTAGTTTAAGTCTTTGGTTCTTTTAATTGTGATGATTTGGGCTCACATTTAACAAAAACCCACCAATTCACAAACCCAGTAAATACCTGCAATGTTTCATTTGATATTTGTTTTTGACAGGATATTCTATAGTAGCATAAAACTATTAATGCCAGTCAGAAACAAGTATGGAAATCAACAGGTTATCAGCAAGATTTCATGCTATGCTAATGTGATGTCAGCAATATTGCACATAAACTGCCCAGACTGACATCAACAATGGCAGATATGCTAAAACTGTATATTTAACAAAATAAATAAACATACAAACAAACAAACAGTAGACTGTAATTTTAATTTAAAAATAACTTCAATGGTTTGTTTGGTTATCTTTAAGGGGTAATAAATATTTGATCATAAAACTATTATCTGAAGGAAAAAAAATAGCACTGGTCCTTACTTAAATCTGGCAACCTTTTTGTACATTAAGATGAATATTTTCAGACCATATACTTGCATTTTAATTCTTTTAAGATGCTATTAATTTATTTATCAAATCTTGACGTTTACACATTTAGAGCAAAATATATTGCAATCAAAATATTGCAGATATGATACACCTGCTGTCTGTCAAACTGGTTTATAAAATGCATGATAAAAGGATGGCTATGCCACATTTATATAGCCAACAAAAAGGGTTTATTTGCACACAAAAGAGCAAATAATGTGCTTATTTAAGTGTAGTAAATCAAAATCATGTCATGAGCTAAAGTTGCAACATTTGACCCACCAAAGTTGAATAGATGCTAAATGACCATAAAAAAACTCCTCTTCTTTTGCATTTGACAATTTAAGTAACTTGAATTCAGTTTGACATAATACTGTATTTATATAACCGTCTTATCTGGATAAAGTCAAGACCATAGTGCATAAAACATTATGGTCACATTTTGATTTGTATGTTTACTCGGATGATGACGCAATAGTACAGACACTTGATGTTGCTGCAGTTAAGCCCTGTGCTACCAAATGCCTTCTTCCTGTTAATGGCCATATATTTGAAAGAATTCATCATGCCATCCACTTTCTCTACCGGGAAAAATAATATGTCTGTGAAAATGGTGTCGGAGAATTGCTCATTTTAAATATTATTTCATCTTTTTGTCACTTCTGTAGTGCAATTTACCCAAGAGTACTTATACTTAACATTATTGCAATATTAAATATGTCTATAATATATGCTATTGCAATAATAATTCAGTTTAATAAACTCTAAATATAAAATATATATACATATATAAATAATATTAAATACATATGTAATGTTAAATAATTTTTGTAATAAATAATTTATCACAAGTTTAGCATTTAAACAAATTATTCATCATTTCGATACAATTCTTGATATATTTTGTATGGTTTTTAAAAAGCATTATCCTGTATCCTGTCATTAAGAGATCTATAACGAGGCTACTGAATAATGTCAGTGTGTAAAATAAGTCTTGGTTTTCCTATCATTAATAATGAAAATATTATAAATCTTGTGTCAAAATTGCACAAATAAAAAATGTAAAATAAAAAAATGTGCATAAATGGGTCATATATTCTGGTCAGTGAGAAGCAATTGTATCTTACCTGTTTCAGCTCAAATTAGGTTCAATTTTGAGCATTTATTCACTTCTATGAGATTGAATATGTGTCCAAAAGGGAAAACCGAGAGAAAGTCACTCATCAGCAGACTGTGGATGTGTCAGACCAGCGTGCTCCTCTTCTCGCACATGTCAGGGGTCAGAGGCGCGAAGTTGGAGGCAGCTGTGTTGTTCTGCTCGTTGTAACGCGACGAGGCCGGGGAGTTTTGCATCACCACGAGCCGGATGGGAGACTGCTGCTGGGGGGCTGCGGGCTCGGAAACGTACTCCTTGGAAGGGTCTTTGCCACGGCAGTCGTACAGGATGCAAGAGATGAGAAAGACCAGAAGCAGGATGACGTAGCTGGCGATGAGGATGATGAGGTTTAGAGTGACTGGATCAATCTCCAGGTAAAACTCCATGAGACCCATGGCGACGCTGCATCCCTGACTCCGCGCTCTGAAAGAAATGTGGGCACCATGGACTCCCGTCGGGCTCTTCGGCAAAGCGTGCAGTAGTTGGGATATCCCGGCGAGCAGCAGCAGGGCCCTGTGCTGAGATCAGAGTGGAGATTTCACTCTGCAGTTCAAAGACTTTAATCCCTCCCCTTCTGTTCCACCAACCTTGAGTTCCTGCAGCCAATGATTAAAAGCTGCTCACTTAATAGCTTAAGCTGCCATTTTAATTTTGTCAACTGCACATTGCGCGATGGATTTGGCCAAATGATGTAGAGGCGGTGAAAGGGTGGAGTAGAATTTTTAGCATGTTCCCACCTCGTGTCTTTTTGCCAGAAGCACGTCAATGTGGGATTTCACTAAGCATTGTGTAGTGAACGACTTTTAGTTATGTCATTATTAATGGACCGTGACATAACACTCAAGCAAAAAAGCAGATTTAATGGTATTTTGGGAACGTGTAATATGCATGTTTTTCCTCCACATTATTTTGAATTCATTTTTATGGATACCATTTTTACATAGTAATGATTTATTGTATTTAATGCATAATACAAGTTTTTGAGACAGTCTATTAAAACTGGCAGGTTGTGTTATCTCATAAATTGACTGTGACAGAACATGTAAGACAAAAAGCACATTTAATGTTGTTTTTGAAGGTAATTTGGGAAAATATAACTTATGCAAATTATTCGGCATTCATCATTTCAATAAAATACCGGACAAATTTTTTTTTTTTGATATATATAAAAAACATTATGCTGTTTGTCATTATTCGAGTTTCTCAGACTCAGTGTAAACCGAAAGTGACTAAGAAATAGAAAGAAAAAGCTGTTGTGTTTCACTCTGCAGTTCAAAGACTTTAATCCCTCCCCTTCTGTTCCACCAACCTTGAGTTCCTGCAGCCAATGATTAAAAGCTGCTCACTTAATAGCTTAAGCTGCCATTTTAATTTTGTCAACTGCACATTGCGCGATGGATTTGGCCAAATGATGTAGAGGCGGTGAAAGGGTGGAGTAGAATTTTTAGCATGTTCCCACCTCGTGTCTTTTTGCCAGAAGCACGTCAATGTGGGATTTCACTAAGCATTGTGTAGTGAACGACTTTTAGTTATGTCATTATTAATGGACCGTGACATAACACTCAAGCAAAAAAGCAGATTTAATGGTATTTTGGGAACGTGTAATATGCATGTTTTTCCTCCACATTATTTTGAATTCATTTTTATGGATACCATTTTTACATAGTAATGATTTATTGTATTTAATGCATAATACAAGTTTTTGAGACAGTCTATTAAAACTGGCAGGTTGTGTTATCTCATAAATTGACTGTGACAGAACATGTAAGACAAAAAGCACATTTAATGTTGTTTTTGAAGGTAATTTGGGAAAATATAACTTATGCAAATTATTCGGCATTCATCATTTCAATAAAATACCGGACAAATTTTTTTTTTTTTGATATATATAAAAAACATTATGCTGTTTGTCATTATTCGAGTTTCTCAGACTCAGTGTAAACCGAAAGTGACTAAGAAATAGAAAGAAAAAGCTGTTGTGTCATAATAAATGGACTGTGATGTAAAACAGAAGCCACAAAGCAGATGTAAAGCTGCTTTTGGAGGTATTTTAAATGTTGTGGCATTTTGCACTCATTTTACGTTTTTATGATTTATAAAAAAAAAAAGTGTTTAATCATAAATAATACATATTTTAATATTAATAGTTATATATGATCAATAAATATAGTCATAAAATAATGAAAAGTAGAGTTTTGTTGTTATGTTGACATTTTTAATGGATGGTGGCATAACACAGAAGCCAAAACACAGACTTAAGGTTATGTGTGGAGGAAACATATTTTTAGAATGATATTTATGCTTTTTTAATTTTTTAGCATATTTAATAACATTTTATGGTTGTGTATTTAATAAATATCATTAATTTTAGGCCAAAGTACACTACAAAAGTGACCAAAAATATGAAGCAATATGAAAAATAAGTCATTTTAACACGTCTCAACAATACAATAAAACTCAAAGGTAAACCAAGGGTACACTGTTGTTCATGTTGACATCTGTGTTAATGGAGGAGAAAGACAAAGTAGAGTGCTTTTCTTTATTTAATCTGGGTTTGCAACATCTGTCTGTTCATGTCTTGATCTATCCATCAGCATCTATTACAGATTACGGCTGTGCAGTGAACACTAGCATGTACCACCTGCCTAAAGTTTTATAGTTTGACAAGGATTATAGTGTAAAGGTACCAGATGGACTAAAAGAATAACCGAGGTCTTAAAAGAGGCTCACAGATGGAGGCCATGCAAAGCATACATGACACGGAGCATAATCTGTTCAGAATCTGAATGAATGTGCTGCTCTGGTTTATATGTGATTTGAAGTCACCAATATTTCCATTCAAAGTAGATTTTTTTAACCTCAAAGTATGTCATGCAAACTGCACAGTTTAATCAAAACCTGGGTATTTTGTGATCTGGGTCAGTCTGATTCTATAGAAACTCTGGTTCTTTGAAAAAAAAAAAAAAAACTTGTGCATTGTGCATGCTGAATATCTCTTTATTTTTTTCACTTTTGGAAAATATTTTATTTTACTAAATTAAATCATAATGACAAATGAATTTAAATGAATGCATTTTCAGTAATTACAAATTCAAAACATATTTCAGTCAAAGCTATTTCTCAGACTCTCTACCAGGTCAGTTTGACTCTCCCACGCTTTGTCCATTTTTCTTCTCTTTCTGCATCTTCTGCATACTGCACTGAAGCCCAGAAGCAACAGTGCACTGGTGAGGAGCAGAAGTCCTAGAATGGAGATGGTCGATCCGTGGGTGCTGAAGCTGTAGGCTACCGCTGTGACTGCAACACCAATGATCAGGAGAACAACACCGAATGGAAGAGTGCAGCGAGAGCAGGACCCTTCCGCTCCTCCAGTGGCCGTCGTCAGCTCTGCTCCATTAACCAGGGCTGAACCCTTCAGCGCAGAATGATCAGTGCTCATGGTCCAGTGAAAGCTGCTGGGATGTTTAATTCACTTTTGCTTGGTTACTTTCGGGTTCCTCTTGCTCTTTACCAATGATGCTGAGACCGTTTTAGTTCGTTGCAGCATTTCTAAGATCAAAAATAATAACCAATTTTTAATGTAAACCTGTTCTAAATCCTTAGATGAAAAGTGAATTATTATATTTATTAATGTATTCATTGATTAATCCATCCATTCATTCATTATTTATTATTGCCATCTATTCATTTGCTCAGTCATTCACTATGTACATTCACAAAGTATTAATTTTTAAACTATATACCTAAAGTATAAAGTGTCAAACTAAAAATGAATTTTTCAATAATATTTTGGATTAGCTTTGAATAAAAGTATGTGGTAAATTAATACATTTTTCAGAGTATGTGTATTTCTAATTTTTACTCAATTATTATTATTATTTTTTAATGTATTGTATGATGCTATATTATATTGCTAGTTATCCTATGATTTATTTTTATTGCTGCAATGCCTCAATTTCCCTCACGTGATTAATGAAGTACTATCATATCCTAAAAATACAGACAATTAAGAATGACAAAAATAATATATACTGTATAGTCACTTTGTTTTTTAATCTGGCCATTTTAAGACTGCTTATCAGTTAAAATACATTTTAATACAATACTATTAAAAAGTTATATTTCAAGTAAATGCTGTTCGTTTGAGCTTTCTATTCATCAGTGAATCCTGAAAAAAATAAATGTTTCATGGTTCCATAAAAATATTAAGCAGCACAGCTGTTTTCAACATAGTATGATAATAATTTAAAAAAAATTACTACAGCACCAAATCAACATTAGAATGGTTTCTGAAGACTGTGTGACACTGAAGACTGGAGTAATGGCTCCTTGAAATGAATTATATTTTAAAATATATTAAAATAGAAAATAGTTATTTTAAATTATAATAAAATGTAACAATATGACTGTTTTGAATGTATTTTGACTATAAATGCAGCTTTAAAAAATCTTACCGACCCCAAACTTTTGAGTATTAGCAGATTTACAAAATAGGTAAAGTTACAAAAATATCTAAGTAAAATTAGTTTCTAGTTCACTACATTCATGCAGCTAGTTTAATGCATAAAGAAAAAAGCTCCACAAACTGAGAAGCTGAAGGAGAAACTTACCATGAGATGAAGCATATGTGCCCTGGAGTGGTAACCAGACTGAAATGAAGTATTTCTTCAATATGTTTCTCTTGCTTTAAAGACTACCTTGATATTTAACCCTCTACATACAGACGGCACGTATCCATTGGAACCGTACGGAATCATTCCTGTGGTGGGTCAGTTTCTGGGCCACCAGGGTGCCACAGTATCCAAGGAACGAAAACAAATCTGTGCTCCACAGCTGCAAGGCCACACACTCCCCTAGATTCCCTGGCCATGCCGTCAATTACAGACAGATGTCCAATGCTCTCTGCCTCTTTTATCTTATTCCCACTCCCATAACTGGATGCTGTGCTTGGGCTCTTGCTCATATGCATTGTGATCTGTGAAGTGCATCAAGGAGGTTAGAGATTAACTGAAGCTCTCATTTCTCAGAAAATAATTTATCATGTCTGCTGAAAAGACTTCAGATGGATGCATGAAGCTGTTAGTCAGGAAATATGTGCAGTTTCTGAAGATAAAGCTCCCTCATGTGGTCTTTTTAGTGACTAACAGGGAAAAAGATTTATCAGCAGCAGGGAGCGAGTGGGCCTAATTTCTGGGAAAACATTAAAATGGGATTTCATACTCAAATGACTTGGTATAAAAACTGCGGAATCAGCTCTCCATCGTTATCTAAAAGCAAAAAGTCTGCTGACCTTAAGGTTAATGTTTCTAATTTTTGCATGTCATATTTAGTCATGTAGGCTAAGAAACTTCTTACAAACTGTAAAATTGAAGATAAAACATCTTGAAGAAAAGATGAAATTAGATTATTTGAGTTGTAATGTTGGAAAACGTTGAATTTATCTAGTTTCATAAGTATTTTATGTCCCTTAAAGGTCACAATGTGAAGGCTTAAATAATATTGGATTTAAGTAGCTAAAATCAGTTAATTTAGAAATGATCAACTGAAGTGCATTTTAGATTAATTTACAAAACTGTTTATAGGCAGAGTTTCAATAATACATACACATTTCTGAGCAAATGGAATAAAAACTGCAACAACAAAAAGTCTCTAAAACTCACTGAACTTGTAGGCTACATTGTGTAACCAGCTAATGTAGTCAGGTTGATTCAGTGAATCATAATATTTCTATAATATTTAATATAATTTATAATACAATTATATTTTATAATGTATAATATAGGCCTATTTATGACTAAAATATAGCTCCTTTAATTAAAAAAAAAGTGTATTGCCACAGTTACCACATGAAGCACTTAGTTTAGCAGAACGTTTTTTAAGTGTGTAGTTTAATTAACAGTGTTACAGTACATATTTCTCATGAATGTACAAAACTGCATAGTTTATATCACTGAGGCTATATAGTCATAATGTCGTCTGGTGGAAATGGCTGAGATGTTCTTTGGTTACATCAACATGAAGATGAAGAACTGTTTATGTGAGATAATTGCAGCCCCTCATTTTCCTGGAAACCTACATAAATATTTCCTGTCTTATCTTACACAGTCATGCACAAAAAAACCTGACAGGACGGGTTTCAACGAAATTCGACATTTTAACGTTCATACACTCGTTAGCAAAACATAAGCTATCAAAACATTACTCCGCGGAGTTTATAGTTATTGAACAGTGATGAAAGGTGAATATCTTCGGAGCAGATGACAGGGTTCCTTCACTTCCTGATGGCGAACAGGGATCACATTTGGTGAGTTTTGCAGAAATCTTTAGCTTTTGTTCCTAAACGCAGTCGCAGGAGTTAGAGTTCTCACTACGCCTGAGTGGAAGACACGTAACGGGAAGTTTTGAGTCCAGTTTCAGGTTTTCACGGGAAGAGGATGCAGATGTTCCGAGGATCCGCAGCGGTTCCTTGAGTCCAGAACCGGAGAACAAAGAGGTACATTCCCTCCTTTCCCAAACGAGTCCTTGTTCGTATTCAGTGAAGCTGACTGCACTGGATGTAGCGTGAAAATCTGTCAACTTTACAGTGTACATCGCAACTGGAGTGTTTGCAGTGTAGGTGGGGTGTTATATGAAAGGAAGAGGAGTAATTAAAGATGGATACATGTGGGATATGAACAGTGTTGTGATGGGAAAAGTGTGAGGAGATTTTAAAGCTCATTTCGGAAGCACACCTCTGCTAAAGCTAATTCGATCTAAGGCATTTCTGTAGTGATTAAGGGATGTTTATCATGATAGTTTATTTTTGAAAGTCAGTTTCTATGTAGTCACATACTTTAAGTTCTAGGCTACAAAAAAGCTGTTGAACATTTCCACTGTTACTGCCCAAGGAAAAAAAAAGATGAAGTTAATTTAAACATTTACCTTCTATGACAACATGCCCCAATGGCAGGGAATGCTGTCACACCATATGGGGTAAGTTGTCAGGACAGAACCTGCCTGGTTAGACTTTTCAGTAAAATGTAAACAGTAAAACAATTCATGAAACAGAAAAAATGTAAAAGGTAACATTAAAATATCAATCCATTGTTATGGCCAGTAGAAATTGAAATCTTACTATCATATCCAGCTGTGATGCATCTTTGGTTCTGAGTAAATGAAATGCAGCCTCAGAGTAGTAGCAGCCTAAAATTAGTTTGTTATCATAGTTTATTATTATTTTTTCTATATTTCTACATTTATGATTTCTTAAATGCCACCTTGATCTTTAATTGCCACCTTAAATGCCAAATCTTAATTTCATATTAGGACGGGACAGAATTCACAGAGTTTGCATTAAAACTTAAAAGGCTACTTAGCCAGATGTTATATTTACTATGTGAGCATTAATAATGTGTGCAGGCTTGATTTGCCAGCTTCTGTTTGGCACCACCAGCAGGGACCTGTGCTGTGAAGTGACCTCAGGTCCAAAACATTAGCCATGTGGATAATTGGCTGTGTAATTTGGCTTCATTTGTGGCTGTGGAAGAAACCCTCACGTGATCAGCATACAGTACACTAACAGGTTGTTCTGCTTTTCTCAGAGATGGCTCAAGATGTCTTATGAGACTGAAAAAACTTGCCTGCTGGCTCCACAGGAATCACAAACGCCATGTGGTTGCCACAAATATGAAATCCCAGGAATGGGAGAGGACAGGTACCGTAAGCTCAATATGTATAATAATAATTATACAATAATCTATAGATAATCTATTTAATACAGCAAAACTGAAATATATCATATTGTATTGTATTGCAGTGTTTTAGAAATGCTGAGCTACTCCAAATTCTCTGATCTGGAGACGTGGCTGTGTATGCCCTCTACTATGTTACCCAGGAGCCGGGATTCAGTTTGCTCCTTGCCGCCACCGTCCCATGAGAATGGCACTGGAGACACAGGCAAAGAGTCCAGGTAACATGTTTGTGAGAAAATTTTAAGGATGGGTCTGGGTAGTTCCTGTCTCTTTGTTACAGACCAGTTTGATAGCTTTTCTCGGAGTAGGCGTTTCAGTTAAGGGCAAGTTTCGTATTTAAACAGGAATCTCACGCTTGTGTGCTTGGTAAGCGGTGTCTTGCTTTATCTTATAGACATGCAAAAATCTGTTTTCTTTTCTTTTTAATTGTTACACAGCTTTAGATTACTCCACACTTAGTTTTTGTGTAATGACCACTGAACTGTATATATGACTATTGACAAGCAGCTAACTACACATTTTGGAAGTTCCAAGGTAGCTTTTTTCTTACATATTCAAATAATCCTGGCTCACATTTGCATTTTGTTTATTTACTTGTTAAGTAGACATGCAGTAACTAATAGAATGTACAGTTATTCATAAATAATGTTTAGCTTAGTGCAGTTGTTGGACTGCAATTCTTGCAGTGACCACATGATGTCATCTTTTACACATTAAAGTCAGTTTTGTGTCCTGCCTGAACATTCTGAATCAACAGTATATTCAAAAGAATCTTTAAAAACGTGATTATGTTGTAATTTTGTAAAGATTGTGACGGACATTCAAATTACGCGCTAAACATTTCTCTCCATATTTAACAACCTCTGATTACTTTTGAGAATCCTATTAAACATGCTTGATTTTTTTAATCAGC